TCCACGCTGGTCACCTGGTCCCTGGCCGACCCCTCTCCTATCTTCCTCTGATTTCACTTCTACTCCACGCTTGTGTCTTTTTCGCCTTCCTGTTGGCCTTGTTCGCACACGAGGTTGACATGAACTCATGCAGGCAGCAACAAGTGATTAGTGCGTCGGTGGACGAAGGACAGGCCAGTAAGCGCACTGACTTGCCAACAGTTACGACAGTCGCAAAGGGGAAAAGGGTCACACGAGCTCCCAAGCGGTCAATGTTACGGACAGTCAGCAGCGAACAAGCTGGTCAAAGTTCGTGCGCTGAGCACGGATATAATAATAGGCATGCAGCGAGGCTGAAACAGTCCCGGCAAACTGGAACAACCACCACGTTACTCTGACGATGAAAACAAGCGAGTGTCCGAAACGTCAGTCCCGATATAACTCGGTCCATGTCCTTGAACCTTCTTTTTCGTCTTCTTTGGGGGATGATGAAAACGATAGGATATCTGGACCTCAAATCTTTGCGCAGATTAACATAAGTAGCGGCTAGTCCTCCTCAGTAAAAGTAATTAGCCATGAGGAGTAGGCTCTCATTAAGGCAGCAAATTTGGCTAGTTGCAATCTTTGTAGGTAGTAGTAGCTTCACAAATACGATGGAAATGCAAACGTTTGCACAAATTCTCCATAGCACAGCTTTAGCATTGCTTTGAAAAATCTGTCAGTAGATGAACTGCTGCGTTCCATGTCCATAAATTTGGGATGGTCGATTAGATAGGACGCTAAAATGAAACTTATTCGAAGTAATACTCAAGATGTGGTGCACAATCTCATCGGTTTAAAATATAAGCCAAGTTCATGGTCATTTATCAATAAAATATGAACTTTGTTTTCAACGAACCCGATCACCCGACGTCTTGTACATGCATGCTTGTAAGAGTAAGTTAAAAAATAATAACTGGTGAATGGCGCTGTCACCCTGTTCGATTTCTATTTCGAAAGCCAATCGGAATTGGGATTGTTTGTTCCCTTTGCGAAGAATATAAGGCTAGTATAAAATGGCTTATGAGGGATCAGTTCGTTTGAATTTTAATGAAGCCTCATGCACATTCTGCCTATTATTATTATTATTATTATTATTATTATTCAAGTTATCTGAGAATAACTGACGCTATAGTTTTTCACCGATACATGTTGCCGAAAATTATGTTTTTGTGATATAATCAACAATGTTTCTGACCCAATTCTAAAAAAAGCAGGGGCCTCGCTGGGATTCGAATCCCCGATAGCATGGGCAGAGTTTTGGTACGGCCAACGCTCTGACCACCGGAGTTGCGGTTTCCCGACTGGGATCCGTACTAAACAGTGAAAAAAGTAAATTTAGTCCGAAAACCGTTCTTAAAATGTGCATGATCAGGCTTTTACATAGAACCTCATAATTTGGAGCAAATTGGCGCACACTTGTCCACAACTCTTAACCTTGAACTCATTTACAAGCCACAATCTTTCCCCCTTTTGAATACTTTTCCCAATATTGATTACTGTATACAAGTCAGTTAGATGCCAGTTTGAACTCTGAAAATTACTTTTAAAAGCTAAAATAACTACATGTAACAAGCAAGATCTCATTGCTTGAATTGTTTACTTTTCTTCTTCTCCTTCTTCTGCTTCAGTTACGTAATACAGAGGAAAGTCCTTATCTGGGCAAATGTCGGTACATTCGTATGGCTAGTTCACCGATCCAGTCCAGTCAGCGACAAGGACCGCGGGGCTCCCTTTTGTGTGGGCGCAGTCCAGACGCCGAGGAGGGTTTGTCGGAACAGGGCGGGCGTGCGTCTGACTTGGATCCCCGTCGGGCTCAATCGATGGACCTCTCTCGTTCCTGTGCTCGTGTAAGGCGTCATCACTCCATATTTTGGCTGTTTTCAACTACCCTAAAACCATTATACTTCACACAACTATCTTTACGAACTATGACTGAAGGTATCTTTTCTGAAAGGGGAATATGAAAATACTTTTGTCTACTTCTGACAGATTTCCCTTGATTTTGGAGGGCTGGATACTATCTACGGTATTATTCAGTTTAGTCGAGTAAACTTCTGCAGCAGAAGTGCGTAAATCATGAGGTTAAACCCTTAGTCATTCAAGAAGCGTGGAAATCATGTTAATGTTCCACTGATTACTAGTTATCCTTTGAGATTTTCTCTTTCCATACAAAAAATCCGGCATAAAATATATAAAATAAACATGAAATAAACATTCTTGTAAACTCGTCTGGACGGGATTCCCCCCTCAATCGATTGGAGTGAGCAGGTGTTGGCCCTCGTGAGATTTTATCAACAAGTCTGAGACTTGCTACCATAAGATACACAAATTAATTACACGGCGATTCGCACAGACCAAATCAATAAATTTACCGAAGCCAGTCAAAGACTGTGAAGAAACCGAAGAAAGGTTAGAAACTTAATATTCAGACCGCTGAAAAAGGACGCAAACTTTTCATAATGCACAAAGGAAGACCCGAATGATAAAGCGACGGCTCTTCTTGACGTCTGAGAATTTTACAGATCAAGATGAACTTGATATGCCAAAGCAGTGGCAGATCGATGGCATAAATTACTTGGAGGATTCGGACGCAAAGGTGTGTTCACAGAGAATAACTGGCACCGAATGAAATGAGCAGATGTTTTTTGGATCGATTCAATGATTTGCTAATGAGCCCCGACTTTACACTGCTGCGACTCGTGTCAGTAAGTGTATATTCAAAACCGAACTCTATTCAAGGCATTTTTACAACCTCAGCCCGGTAAGTCTCCGAATTATTTGTAGACTTTCGAGGTCGAAAGATGCATTTCGAAGAACTTAAGATCTCGTTCGACATAATATCGTTAGTTTCCACCATCCCAAAGAATTTGGAATACCATGTCTTGCGCAAGAACCATTAAGATCATCTCAAGAGGCTGTTTGAATTTTTCCAAAAAAGTACTTCAAGTTTGCCGGAGAAATCTATGAGCAGATAACAAGAGCTGTAATGGGCTCCGCAGCCTCGAGTTTATGGGCAGTACCGGTCCTACAGGAGTTTCCAATACAAGCGAACTTGCGAGTCCCAGGAAGTAATTGAGAAGAGGAAGATTAGATCGTTGGGGCAACACTTTTATTCGCCTGACGTTTCGACTTCCGTCGTGGATTCTTCATCAGAGGCATCAGCAGGAAACAGTCGCAGAAACGGGTAATATATGCACAGGAGGTTGCAGCATTTATAGGACAACGACAATTAAATACAATTTCGCTCTTATCTGATACTCGCTTGTTGACTGGCATGCGGGCCGTGACCTGCTGAACTTGCATCACGCGTAGTGGAATTGGGTGTGATGATTGCTTGGCCATCGCGTTCCCCGATGTTGGCGTAAGACGTCGCGGTGGCCTGTGCATTCCATAAGTGGCGACATGCTTTGGTTAAATTGAGCCTCAGCGCCGAATATGGATTGGGCAAGTCGTTACACTTGCTTATGGATTGAGGGCTCACATGATCATCCTCTCTTGTGAGAATTTCGTTCTCATCAAATTTGAACGTGTGGCCAGGTCTCGTCGAATGAGCCGCAACTTCAGAATTGGCATCATTTCGCCGCACTGTTGCCGTATGTTCGGCAATTCGCGTCTTGAGATGTCTGCTAGTTTCTCTGACATAGTTGCTTTGTCCACAACTGCACCAGATCCCATAGAAGACTCCAGACGGTTCTTGCCGTGGCAGTGGGTCATTCGGTTTCATTAGCTGATGCCTTATGGTTGCCTCCGGTCTGTGTGCGACTCCAACTCCAAGTGATGCGAGAAGGCGGCTGACGGCCTTCGAGAAAATGTTGACGTACGGGATCAGCAAGCGCGTAACGCGCAAGAGGGCAATTATCTTTAATTTTCGTTGTAATAAGTGTGCAGTAATGAGTATATCTTATCCTATGCTGCAACTTCCTGTGCATGTATCACCCACTTCTGCTACTGTTTCTTGCTGAGGTCTCTGATGAAAAATCCCCGACGGATATCAAAACGTCAGGCGAATAAAAGTATTGTCCCAGCGATTGAATCTTATTTTTCCCTACCATTCAGTCTGAGCTGGTATTTTGGCGCAGTTACATTGACGAACGTGTTGTAGAATTTACATAACTTGCGTAACGTAATTTCCTTAGGTATGCAATTCACTAGGAAAAGCGAACAGGAGCAACAGTTATGCAATCGAGATCACCATTTACTGGAAGGCATCGTACACTACGGAGTTTCTCAGTTGTCACAACAACCATCCGGTGCCTCACAAACAGAGTTCTATGAAAATGCTCAGACAATGGATCCAGATTCAGCTCATTAACCCACAAGAAAAAACGCATGAGACCCGATTTTTCTGCGACCAGTTTGCGCTGTATGGCTACCCGAAGGCGCTCATACGTCGATGCTGACCCCCCGGAGCATCCAAACACCACACGAAGATCGGGCCTGGTTTGCCCTTTGTCAAGGATACTTCAGTAGTGACCGAGGGTATTATT